TTTTTTATTTGAGCACATTGTTTTCCTGGTATGGGTATTCACCACTATAAATTTTGCTTTCATTGCATCACAGAAGTTCTATTACATTGTATCAGCATTATCATTTAATTGTAGAAACTGTCTAATTTCTTCTTTAATTTCAATGTGTTTTTGGAATTTTTGTGGTTTCTTTTGCCATTGAGTTCCAATTTCATTGCACCATTAAGCTACAATTATATGTAGCACATTGAGCTACAGTTATATAACAAAATCCAACATAAACCAGTAACTTGTATGCAGTCAGTTTCCCTTTAGTGGAGTGATTTTATCTTGGGGTTTGGGGAGTTAAGAGGGATAGGGACAAGACAGAGAGATAAATGAAGAAAAATAAGTAGAAGCAAGGTTGAAGGGTAAAGGTTGATCACCCAAGCTTTGGGAAACTGGAGAAAAGGATGGGAGAGAAAGAATGAAGGGGAAAGCATGAGAATATCGAAGCTAATCAGAAAGACTAGAGGCTGTTCACATGCATGAAAATAGCAAAAAAATCAAGAAAGATAGTTGAGAAAGTAGAGAAAGAAGATGAACAAAACCAAACAAAAACAATAAAAATAAAAACCTAAATGACATACACACACAAAAAAACCCAGACAGAAAAAGGAAAATGAAACAAATACAAAATGAAACAAAAACCAATAAAATTCCTCTGGTGTCCACAGTTCTGTGGCAGTGTCTGGGTCCAAGCCCAAAACTGTATTGGGTAACCCCGGCAAGTCTGCGGTAGAATTAGTGCTACATGTGGGGCTGATCTTGGCCTCTGGATGGCGGCTGGTGCCAGTCTGCAGCCAGGAAGTTTCCCTATGTTCGTTGGTGGCCTGCCCATGTCTCCTTACCCTGTTTGTCTCTGTGTCACTCTCCTAGTTGCTGTGGTGCCCTCAGACATCCAGCCAGAGGTTGCTCCCAATTAGATGTATATTTGGCTCCTCCTGGTTCTTATACAGCCTCTGCTTACATGTCTTTCTCCCCTCTCATACTGCTTGTCACAGGGCTGGAGGAGCGGTGCTGGCCAGCACTCTGCAGCTGGCACCACCACTGCCACTGCCACAGTAGAGTCAGCCCAAGGCTGCTGGGTTCTCCTTCAATCTCCTTTCTATCAAGGAGAGTGCTGATTTGTCCAAAGAACCTCTTATGGCCCAATATATAGATGTCCTCCAAAGCCTCATGGGATCATAGGTGGGGCTTTCTGGAAGTGTTAGATGTAGGCTGTGTAATGCTGGGATTAATTCACCAGTGCTAGGATTAAGGGTTCCCCATCCTGGGTGTGAGTACTACCTGCTCTAAGGCAGAGTAGCCTGGATAGAATATAAGGGACAGAAAGAGGGCTGCTGCTATTACTGCTTGTTGCTTACTGTTGTCACTGCTTGCTTCCTTCTGCTCGCTCTGCTTTTTCCTCTGAGATGCCACCTGCCATGCAATCCTGCCTTGGACTAAACCTCTACAAACTGTGAGTGACAATAAACCTTTCCTCCTTTAACTTTTGGTGTTGGGTATTTTGTCTCAGCAACAAGAAAGGTAACTAAGACAGAGCCAAAGTATTAATCTTGAACATTGAGGTGATACTTTTAAGTGAAATAAATAGGACACACATGTGTAAATACCAAATAGTTTCTCTAGTGTGAGAAAGTGAAAAGAGTAAATATAGACTAAAAGGTATAATAGATAATGTGAAATAGGAAGAAAAGGGGCAAAGGGGAAGGGGAAGTGGGAGGGGTAGGGGAAAGGAAAGAAGGGAATGGAATTAATATGAGAAAATGAAAAAATGGAAATAAAGTCTTTGTCAATAGGGAGGGATGGAGGGGTTGAAGGGAGGTCAGGGGAATGGGGAAAAAATAAGAACCAAGAGAGATTATGTAAAGGTGCAAATTTCCAGTGATGAATGTCATTATATTGAATACCTAAAATGTACCAATAAAATTAATTTAAAAATATATATAAATTGTGGTGCATTTAAACACCTGTTTCAGTAATGCAAATATACTAAATAATATAAATATACTACATAAAACATATATGATTCTCACAAAAAATACTAGTCAAAGAAGTCAGAAACAAAACAATACATACAGAATGATTCTATTTATACACATTTGAAGAAAGGTACAGACTAAAGGTACCAATTAACTTTATATAGGCAATCAGTATTGACTGAAGGGGTCAACAGTGTTGACATGTTGACGTGAGGTTTATAAAGGTGTTCTCTTTATGATCATCCTATAAAATGTACATTTATTTATCACTTTTCTGTTTTTTTTAATGAATTAGAAAACCCTGCATTGTATAAACTTAGAATAATGTTAGAACCTTTGCTTATGAATTTTTAGAAATCTGATAGTTCAAAAAGAGCAGAAGTCATCATTTGCATGGTTGGTTTGAAAACTTTTCTACTTTTTGAGTTGAAGACATAAAGCCTTGTGTCTCTAACTAAAGTTATTTATCTGTCTAAGATACATTATTGTGCACTTTATGATGTTATTCTACTAATGCTGCCTATGCCCATCTGCTTTGTTTTCCTGGGACTATTTTCCTTGTGAAACACCGTTCCTAGACTGTCATTCATATGCACTGAAACGTGATTAAATACCTGAGCTTGTCTAAGACATCTAATAAACAGCTATTATGGCAAATATTGAAGTACTTCTCACTTGTTTTTTTCCATGCAGAACAAATATTGATAAATTTTACATCATCACATTAGTTTAAAAAGAATGTATCATAAATTTTTAAAGTATCGTGTTAGTGTACAATATAGATGAATCATGAAAACAGTCTCTTTCACAAGGCAGATACTCTTAACAATTCTGCTGACAAAGGGCGGCTGTGAGATGTTGCAGCCTTCTCAATTCTCAAGGTGTCATTCTTTCCCAATAAATATCCTAAATTCTTAGAAACTTGATTAAAATGTTATGCGTAAGTTCAGATTTACTGACTGTTGGTTTTATCATTCCTACGACTTCATGAGATGAGCTTCTTTCAGAGCAGTGGTACTCAGCAGAGGCAGAAGTGAGTGGGTAATGGTGGTCATTTTTCTCTCTAAGGAACATTTGGCAATGTCTGGATATGATTTTGATGTCACAGCTTGGGTGAAAGTGAGCTGTTATTGGTTTGTACTGGGTAAAGGCCAGAGAGGCTGGAATATCCTGCAAAACACAGGATGTTCTTCCATAACAATTAATTATCTGGCCCCAAATAACCGTAGTGCCAAAGTTGAGAAATCTTATTTTTAACAATTAGAGAAATTTTCTGTTTTTCTGGGACAAGTTTAAAGTATTTTAAACCCTTGGCTTTACATCATCATTTTCTAATTTCTTAAGGCTATCAGAGCTGCCCCTACACCATAGTCCAGCTCGTTTATTTCTCAATTTCATCTTAATGTTCTATTATACCAAACACTTGTTACTAAAAGCTGTGCTCAATAGGTACCTTATTCCAGGTCATCACATAAGATAATTTAAGTAACTGTTTTACTGCTGCATGCCTGAGAGTATCAACATTTTATTTTCCACTGTTAATGAGATGCTCACTGCCTTTAGATCCAAACCATGTCAAATAATAAATCTCAAATTTCCAGTGTGGAAATTTCATTTATTTTTTGAATATTTTTGTCCACCAATCAGATTGTCAGTTTCAACATGTTCTCTTACCCTTGGGCGTTTGTACATACATCCCTTCCTTGATATAGAAGGCTTTTGTCTCCCCACAGCCCATTTACCCAGCTAGTTCAGATACCTTATGTCTAGATTTAATATTTTTCAGGATGCCTTTCCCTGAGTGCTTTTCCCCTGGAGGCATATGTGTTTTTCCGTGGGTAACACTGTAACACAATGTACAGCAATTTACTTGATTGTATCTTCAACTCTGCCTTAAGCTCTGGCAGGGAAAAAAAGACAATTATTTTGCATAATGTACACTCTTTAAATTGCTCTACAAATTTCAGTTAGTCTTTCATAACTGTATTTCCCATGCTACAAACATTGCCATTCAGCCGGTCATGGTGGTGCACACCTGTAATCCCAGCACTTCTGTGTCAGTGGCAGGAGGATCCCTGTGAGTTCAAGGCCTTCAGGGACTATATACTGAGTTCAAGGGCACCCTGATCTATATAGTGGGACCCTGGGTCAAAAAACAACAAAAAACCCCAAAAAACCTCCAAACTGCAATTCAATGTATATTTGTGCAATAAATGTACAAATTGATCCAAATATTTCTCAACTTTTGATATATAAACCCATTAAAAACTATTGACTGCTTCAGATTCTAGTATTTTAATAACATTGTAAAAATAGTTAACATGTGAGTTAATGTGTCATTTAATATTACTCAAAAACTGTCATATATTTGTCCTCAAGTTTTTTTAGTTTAAAAATTCATTTTTAAAGAAATAAACTCCCGTCATCGATAAAAGACACGATTTCACATTCATGTAGATATATACCCTAAGCAAACAGTAAGTACTGTACTGTGTATTCTTTATTTTTATAGAAGTCTTTCCATAGTACAATAGTTAATATAATTAAATGAATACATTTTTCTCAGTTTTTTTTCAAAGCTGTAATTAAACAAGTTCTATTGTGATTTTTATATTACTCTATTGCAGAAAAGAAATATTTTAAGGGATGCAATTTATGGAGGCAGCGGGTTAGTGTAGCTGTCGGCATGTTATGGATTTTGGTAGTGACTTAAGGTAGTAAATGTGCTTTTGTGGAAAGGTTACTCACAGTACTGTAAATCTTGGAAAAAACCCCCCAAAACCCAAAACACGAATTGTCTTCACACAGATTTAGACTGAGGGGTGGGACCACGAGTGGAAAGGGCGGAACCTCAAGGGTTGTGGGCGGAGCTTCACTGGATCTGGGCGGGGTCTCCACTCTCCTCTTCGGGCTCCTCGGGCCTCCAAGCCTTTAAACCCGGCTCTGAGCGGCTCCCTCTCGGCTTCCGTTCGGCGGCTCTCCTCCTACCCTAAGAGGAAGCGCGGCGGCGAGGACAGCGCACGCGCTTTCGGCGCGCGCGGCTCTGAGGGCTGCGCTCGATCTGGCGTTTTCACTTCCTTCTTTCCGGAGCTGTATCCGGGTCGTTGCTTTCTCTATTGTCTCACACAGTCGGCCTCGGACTGTGCAAGTCCTAGGTCTTTTGTTCCTTCGGGTGCAGGCTAATAAAGTTTTTCTTTTATATTTTTCCACCTGGGGAGTTATTGGCGCCCCGGGGCCGCTGCCGGGCCGGAAGGCACCTGTGTCCGGAGCGCCGTGGGAAGGGGAGCGGCCGGGCGGGCGCGGACTGGGGCGGGGGGCGGGAGTGGCCGTGGGCGGCTCTGGGCGCGCCCCTGGATGGTCGGCGGCGCGGCAGATTTTAAATATCTTTTTTCGGACCTGCTTCCGCGGTCCCAGTCCCTGACCTCGGCGGGTTCCCACAGCTTCTCCCTAGGTCTCCTCCAAGCGACGGATTCCTTAGTAAGTTATCCGAGGCCTCGGTGGGGAGAGAAGTCTGTTTCAGAGGATGGGTGGGTCCCGCGGGAAACAACCCTTCATGGGCGCTACCTCTCCACGGTCCGCGGATAGGAATCCCGCTTCTTTTACTCCCTGGGTTTTGCGTTTTCTATTGACTGTTGCGATGTCTGCTTGAGGGATTAAAAGGAAGCCTCAGAAATATCTCCATAAGAGGTGCAAGGAGAGGTTCAGCTTCGATTTCGGCCCGATTGATTTGGCATCGACCGCACCCCCGGGGCTGCAGCTGTGCCCTGTCCCCACCCCAACCTTTCCCGGACTCCTTTGGCTGAGAACTCTATTACACTGTGTGCCTGCACGAGATCATCTTTATCTTCCCTCAGCATCACAGCTCTCTCGTTTTTGGTGTGCTTGTGAATGACTTATGTAAATGTTTTTCTTTTAACAGTGGATCGCAGCTCCAAGAGGAGGCAGGTGAAGCCTCTGGCAGCTTCTCTTCTAGAAGCTCTCGATTATGATAGTTCAGATGACAGTGATTTTAAAGTTGGAGATGCTTCAGGTAAATGTTTCCTTTCTTTTGCCCTTTCCCAGCTTTCTGGAGTTGGGTATATTTTTATACTTCTCTCTTTCTCTCTTTTTTAAGAGTTGGTTTTAAAATGCCGATTTAAAGTGAAAAAACATAAACTTTATTTATTTAGTCCATTTGATTTCCCATATTTCCCTAAGATCCTGTTACTAGATTCTATCACTGCTTATGTTTTCATTTTTATTTACTCAGATAATTAGCAAGTAGGGAAGGATTTTTTTTTACTGATCATTGTACCTGTTTTATTTATTTTAACCATTCAATATAGTATACATGAAATAAGAAAAAAGAAAACGAAAGAAAATTGTAAAATGATGTACCACTTTTGAGTAGCTGTAGTTTAGTGAGATATATTTTAATAGATAGTTGTTAGAGGTAAAGTGTTTTTAGCACATTTGTAATAATGTACCGAGAATTTAGGGAAGGATTTTTTACAAAGTTACAAAAACATTTCCTCTCTTCTGCACTTTGAGGTATATTTGTGCTTATTTCACAGAGGAAGAAGTCAAGAGATACCCTAAAGTAGAATATTCTAAGAGTATTATGCATTATCAATAGCCCTGATTAGTGTTTTTCTCTTTTCAACTCACTCTGCACTTTGTGAGGGGAGTTTGCTTTTTGTCAGCTCTTTTAATAGTGTGCATGCTTACTCCTTATATTTAGTGTTTTTAAAAACACATTTTAAAAGGTCATACATTCACATTGTATGAACTTGGAAAATATAGAAAAATATTTAGTGTGTCTCATCTATGTAATAATATATAAAGTTTTTGAGACTGAGAAACAAAAATTACGTTTAAATATTTCATATGAAAAATACTAGTGAACACGTGAACAATAAAAATTATTTGTAATTCTGCCCCTTTTTTGGAACTTTAGATAAGCAAAAAAATTGAAGCCTTACACATTTCATCACTTTTACAACTTCCCTTTTCATTACAGTGCTAGGGATGGAACCCTGGTCTAGGCAAGGAATGCAGGGTTTACATGCTAGGCAAGAGCTCTACATTTGGGATGCATTTCCAGCCCCTTAGACATTTTTTAAGTATCCTTCAGAGAGTTTGCTCTGCTTAGTCATCTCTCCCGATTCACTTTTGTTTTTGTTTTTTTTCCCTGCAAGAGATGGTAAGGGATAAAATTAAGTTGTATTGTGTTACTTATAATTACTTTTAATAACATCATAAACAATTTGCATTATGATTTATTGGAAACTTGTTTGCATAATCTCATTTAACTTTTACAATAATTCAGTAAAGGAGATACTATTTTATAGGTAACAGGGTTACTCAGTTTAAAGAATTTGCATGAGTTCACTCAGACAGTAATGGATCCAGTGTAATTGACTCCAGAGTTTATAGTCTTTTCACTATTAGATTTTAAGAGTGGTTCGATATAATCTTAAACTAAAACTACTTGAGTTCACTCCCTGTAATCAAAAGTTGTTGTTTATTTTTGATTAATGGTTTTAACCTTTGCTTCTCAGTTCTTTATCTCCCATTTAGTGATGCTTGGTGTTTTTAAAAAAGGGAAAAGAAGTAGGAGGATAGGAGGTAAAAATTCAAAAGTCTTCAGTTTCAGTGGAGAAGACCTCAACCGCTAAGAGTCCTGGATGGAAAGTAGTTTTGATTTATTAGGGTTGTAAACAAAAATAGTTGAGCCTCAGTGGTTATGCATATTTTTGAATACTGTTACGAGATAAAGTCCAAAACTTATTTTAAGCATTCTAAAATTACTTCTGTGACAATAAATTCTGATTTCATGGACAATTTTTTCCTTTTGTTTCTTCAAGTAGAATCATTAACAGACATTATTTGTTTTTAATGAAGGATAAAACAATCTAATGATACAAATATAAACTACTCCATCAAAATAATTTGTGGTATCAGGCTAAGTAGAGAATCCTGACCTTACATCTGAACCATAATTGAAGAGTATTGATAGGATGAGTTTTGTTAGGCTGATGTATAAAAATACATAACTTTCTGTACTTCCTGTCATAGAATACCTAGTCTGCTGCATTTATAATTTATCACCCTTGCCCTTGAGGGTTTTACATTTGTGACGTAAGGTCTAAAATCGCAAATTTATTTGTGTAATTCTTGGTATGTTATTATAAAAGGGAAATTAGCAGAAAATGATTTTGTTTAAACTAATTAATAGTCAAAGAAATTGGGTCATATTTTCCATATTTTGATTGAGGAACATTGGTGTTCCCCATAGCAGAGATGTTGTCTTCTTCCATATTACTGGTGTTTCCTATTTGAATCCTTTCTGTTGACTGAGGTAAGTATATTTAGTTGGACTCTTGTAGGAAATAAGCTGTTAGATTTATAACTGGTTTTCAAACATGTTGAAGTTGTGGGATCCCAGTCTACTTTATAAACTAGAAGTTAAACTGGATGTGGAGAAACAGCTAAACATCTGTTTGGTCTTATCTTCTTTCAAAATGACCTCTAGAAATGATGATGAATGGACTACTGACTTTCTTGGAACTTAAAATGGTTAGATTGGAGGCCTTCAGTTGTTGTGTACATTGGTTTCTTTTTATTGTCATTTTGAAGTCTGAAGTTTTGACTGTAAAACTTTTTGTGTTTCTGTCAGGCTTAGAGAATACATACAGAAAACACCGAAAGATTATTATCAGTACCCTAGTAGATAAACATAATTTTACACATGTGCTTCTCAGATGATCAAATAGAAAAAAAAATCAAAATGCTAAAGGTTGACCTAGTATTAAGAATGGCAAGGTATTGGGGGGGGATTTAGCTCAGTGGTTTCGCCACCTACTGCCCAAGCACAAGGACCGGAGTTCAATCCCTAGTACCGGAAAAAAAAAAAAAAAAAAGAATGGCAAGGGATTATGACAAAGTTAATAATTATAAGCCTCTATTTTTAGAACATTATAAAAGTGAAAATAATTTTATCTTTTATCTGTAATGGGAAATCAGTAGTTCCTCATTTTTGATTGAGAATTAAGAGCTTTTATAGCTAGATGAGGGTTTCTCAATCTTAGCTCTATTGGTATATTGTGTTGGATACTTCTTTGTTGTGGAGGTTTGTTCTGCACATAATAGGAATATTTAGCAGCATCCCTGTCTACTAGATGTGTGTAGCAACTATTCCATCTGTCCCCATCTTGTGACCATTGTCTTCAGTGGTATTAGACATTAACGCATGTCTTCTGGGGGAAAAACTGTCCCCACTCCAGAGCTACTGGTTTAGATTTACCCAGAAAATGTAATATGACAGGGTAGAACTAGAGTCAGAAGACAGAATGTGTCATGTTGACTGACTGGCTGATTGTTTACATATGTAAGTAGTCAAAGATAGCTCCAAGATGATAACTGAATAAATAATGGGTCTATCTGTTATCTATTATGTATATATGGTACTAACTAATCTTTGTTGCACTGTATTAATTAGTAGAACAACTAAATTTGATGAAATTGATGAAAAAGCTTATATTGTAAAGAACATAAAACTGAATCGAATCATGATTTTGTTGTTTAATATTTATCCTGGTGAAAACTTAAGCATTGGTGATGATGGTGGTGATGGGTGTTTTTAGTTGAATTAATTTTTGTTTTATCAAATATTGTAAAGAGATTCTTGATTCATGTTTTTGTTCTGTAACTAAAAAGTTCTTTACTGCCTATTAATTGAAATAGCTATTTCTTGGAGAGATTCTAATGTATTGTGTGTTTGAGAGAAGTTAACCTTTTATTTAAACAAATAGAAGTAGTATTTCAATTTTAAATTTTATTAATATAACAGTTTATTTTACATTTGAAATTGCCTAAGATAGCTTTATTTGAAATATCTGGCTCATTTCTCTACTCAGTTATTCCTTTTCAGGGTATAGTATAGTAATAGAAATAGGAATTTTTTTCTTTGCAGCCTATAAAAATATACGTGGGTAAAGGCATTGTTTTCTCATTATCACCCAGCTATGGATATAAACACTTTTTCTCCATTCTTAGAGTGCATACGTTCTGAAAAGAAGTGTTGACTAATCAGACGAAGTTATTTTTCAGAGACCAAAGAAAGATAAAATTTGGTATATTCCTAACCCCTGTAGTTGGAGTATGAATAGTGTGTTATATTTGTTGAATAAAGGGTTTGGCAAGCTACTAGGATTTGGATTTGTGGGAAATGTTCACATTCTTCTAGTAACACTTAAATGTAAAACATTTAAATTTATTTTTTAAAAAAATTGTTCTCAAGCCAGATATGGTAGCGCATAACAGTAATCCTAACACTCTGAATGACAGAGGGAGAAGGCTTGCAAGTTTGAGCTCAGGCTAGGTAACTTAGTGATTTAGTGAGATACTGTCTCAAAAAAAATTAAAAAGGGCTGGCATGTAACTCAGTGCAAAGGCCTGGGCTTCAAGCCTCAGTAACACACACATGAAAAAAAAATTACACTGTAGGGACCAGGGCATAGTAGTGCATGCCTATAATCATAGGTACTTAGGAGGCTGAAGCAGGAGGATCTCAAATTCAAGGCTAGCCAGAGCAGCTTATCCAGATCCTGTTTAAAATTTAGAAAGGGCTGGAGATATAGCTCATTACCTAGCATGTGTGAGGCCCTAGGTTTAGTTCCAGTTCTGGGGTATAAAAAAGCTGTCTATTCACAATAATCATAAAACCAAAATAGAATTAAGGAAACCAGCATACTTCTGCATTTAAAATTAATTGGCTTTGGAAATGGAAACCAAAAACAAAAAAATCACAAAAATCCTTGACATTTTGTAAAATTTACCAAGTTATAACAAAGTTGGTTGGTCTCACTTTTGATCAGGTACCCACACTTCTGTACCAGCTAATCTTATACTTTTGTATCTACTATTAAGTTTTTATTGGAAAAATGCTTGTAGAAAATTGATCTAGAAGAAAAGTACCTTTTCTTTTATTCCCATCTTCTAGCTCTCTTAATTATAGCATAGCTTGTGTTTCAATATTTTTTAGTCATTGTATACAAGAGATCCTTCTTTGCTTCAAAATGTTGTCAACTCTGCTTATTACTTATTATTTATATAGAAATTCTTGTTATTTTTACCAGAGATGATTTTTCTGAGTCTTTTGGGTTTATGAGTAGTTTGAAAAATGAAAACTTTCTTAATGATTTATAGAACTCTTGGACTGAAAACAGGTCTCCTGTTTGTGAATGATAATGGTCCCACGCTTTGAAATTCAGAAATCCAAAAATATTTCCTAAGTTTGGCACAAATTTAGACGCTGGCAAAACCTGACTAGAACTAGCAGTTTATTTGTAGTGCTTCTTATGTGCTGTGAATATTTATACTTTCCACTTCAGAAATACTGTGGATGGTACCATAGGATGGTACCATAGATGTCATTGGGGGTGTTAGTGTAATATACTGTGCTACTCTTTAAATATAATTCTGAATTTTGAAACACATCGGGATTCAAAGGTTTCAGGTAGGGAATTGCTGACCTTCATTATTGCCTGCCTGACCTGTGCAAGATTGTTTACAATGGAAATGTTTTTTTCAGAACACTTCAGAGTAAGCAGTGCATACCTACATGATAATCTTGAGATTGACATTGATTTCATAGGGTCAGTCAGCATCTGGTGAATGTTAGTTTTTATTTTTTGTATGATTTAACTTGTAAGATATTTTTATTACCAGTCATTTGTATAAGATTACTGAGGTGCTTTAGATAGCAGATACTGGTTCCGACTTTGTTTTCAGCTTTAATGCCCAGTTCATTAGAGAAGTTAAGGCAAGTTGAGTCCATAGAAATTAACATGGTTGAAACAAACTACTTCACTTTTTTTTGGTACAGGGGATCGAACTCAGGTCCTTGCACTTGTGCAGCAGGTGGCGAAACCACTGAGCTAAATCCCCGGCCCTAGACTACTTCACTTTTAATCATTGCCCCTTTCTCATTTTCCTGTAGGCTTGTCTGTTTGCATAAAATCCTGCTTCCTTTTTTTCCTCTATTCCCATTTATCCTTCCAAATATTTTAGATTTTTATTTATTTGATTGGGTATAAAGGAGGCCTGGAAGGTTACTGAGTAGTGTTGGATTGAGGACTTGGCTGTCATAGGCAGGAATGGGTGAAGCTTGCTAGAAATAGGCCTGTCTAAGCTCTTTAATGTCCTCACTCTGTCTTTTCAGTAATTACTGTTGCTTTTCATTTCCAGGATGTATTCATTTCTTCTTCACTTTCTTCAACTTTAGAGCCCATAGTAGTTACTGCCTAGAATTTTTGTAAGTGTAGATGACTCTTTTATTAATATGAGCAGTATCCTAATAAGCAAGAAAATTGATAGCTTCTGTTGTATCTTCCATTTTCTGTGCCATTGCCATTATGTGTTTTCACCTGTGTATTTGACCTAAAATGGATTTTGTATATTAGAAATGTGGCACAGTTGATTATCATAAATATTTCTGTTTATTTTGGTGGGTTAAGATTAAAATAAATGAAACAGTTTTTAGGGTAGCAGATTTATCTTATTTTGGACTTGACTCATTCGTTACTTGTAAGTTCATGTAGTTTATAAAAGGAAGGTGTAAAAGTTGATTTTTTTTTTCTGTATTATATTACCAGTAAGTTAAAATTAAATGTTGTTTTTAAAAATGCTCATTTACTTTTAGAAAAAAGTTGCCTCAAGATACCAGCAATGGCAAGAGCTATATGACACAAAATAGTGTTCTTTTTAAAAAAATACATTTTAATTTAGTTATATATATATTCATCTTCATTAGTGCTTTATTGAATTAAAACCATTGTATCAACTTCATTGATTTATTATTTAGCCAGATTGGGAATGTCTACCATTCTTTGACTTAAAATTGTTTATATTGTTTTGCAACTTATTCACAAATTTTGGTGGTTTCATTTGTGTCAGCGTTGTGTGTGTGTGTGTGTATGTATATACATATGTGTGGTTTTTTTTTTCTCATATTTTTAACAGATTCTGAAGGGAGTGGTAATGGAAGTGAAGATCCTTCAAAGGACAGTGGAGAAGGTTCCTGTAGTGATTCTGAAGAAAATATATTAGAGGAAGAACTGAATGAAGATAGTAAAGTAAAAGAGGAACCACTTAAAAATTCTTCAGAGGAGGAAATACTATCATCCGACAAACAGTTAATCAAAATGGAAAAGAAAGAGGAAGAAGAAAATGAAGAGAGACCTAGAAAGAAAAGGGAGAAAGAGAAGGAAAAAGAAAAAGAGAAAGAAAAAGAGAAGGAAAAAGAAAAAGAGAAAGAAAAAGAGAAGGAAAAAGAAAAAGAGAAGGAAAGAGAGAAGGAAAAAGAAAAAGCAACAGTATCTGATAATGTGGCTGCTTCAGCAGCTGCCACCACACCAGCCACAAGTCCTCCTGCTGCCAACACACCCCCTTCTGCCCCCACTACGATGACCGCCACAGAGGAACAAGTCAGTGAGCCAAAAAAATGGAATCTGCGTCGAAACCGACCACTTTTGGATTTTGTGTCCATGGAAGAGCTGAATGACATGGATGACTATGACAGTGAGGATGACAATGACTGGTGACCTACTGTAGTGAGGAGAAAAGGGAGATCAGCATCCCAGAAAGAGGGAAGTGATGGGGACAATGAGGATGATGAAGATGAGGGAAGTGGGAGTGATGAAGATGAGAACGATGAAGGCCATGATGAAGACCATGGCAGTCCTGCTAGCGAAGGGGGTTGCAAGAAGAAGAAGAGTAAAGTTCTTAGCAGAAACAGTGCTGATGATGAGGAGCTAACCAATGATAGCCTGACACTATCTCAAAGCAAGAGTAATGAGGTAGATCAACCCAATTTTTCTGATCTCTGTCTGTCTGGGGAAAAGGGAATTCTTCTCTAAACCACTCTACTCATTATATTAAGTGGCTTCCTTAAAATCCTATTTAGCTGTGGGAGTAAATGAATGCCCTAAATGTAGCATTTATTCAACAAATCTTTATTGAGTACTACTTGTCACCGTTCTCAAGGATCTCACAGTCTCCGTCCTCGAGAAATATTTAGAGAAGTATTTTCATATCTATAGACTTGGTAAATTGTAGATGTTTTCCATTCCCCTTTTTATCCCCTCTCCTGATTATTCAAAGCACTGCTGAATGATGCTGAGTTGATTTGGAAAATTTAGGTCACCTCTTTTCCATATCCACATAAAAATGTAGAATTTTAGAATACTTTGGAGCAGGACAGTAGACAGCTTAATAAACTCAGAGATTCATGTTAAAGTTTTTAATCCCTTTACCAGTTGTAGCACTCATCATCAGTGTAGTCACCAAATCTTTGCTGTATATGTATGGGAGTAAATATAAACTTTGCTTATATGTATTTAGTGAAAGAAGTGTCTCTACAAAGAAATGAAAATGTTTCCATCATAGAACAAACATTGCTATAATAAAACTACAGTAATGGCTCAGTTCTTCTACTTGAAGTTCTACTACTGAAAGTTAGGTTTGTCCTTTTGGTCCAGAGATGCCAACGTGCAAGACTCTTCAGTCAAACACATCTGTGTCTGTCTGTGTGTTTATGTATATGTTTTTCTTCAAAAGATTGAGTTGTTGTCATACATGTAGATGTATCTGTTACATCGCATGTGGAACTATAATAATTCTGTCATTTTTGTTAATGTGTTTATTATCATCAAAATTTACTTCTTTCATTATTTTTTTCTATCATTGAAGTATCTTAAACTGGTAGATTTTTCTCTTTATGCTTTATTCTTTCACATTTTTCTATTTACAAGTATTTCATAGTAGTGATTATCCAATTTAATTATGTTGCATGAAAAATTGGGTGATTTTTTTTTTTTTAACCAAAATTTATAGCAAGCTATCAGTAGTCATATGCCAGTGGAGATGAAACAGTCTGTAGTTTGCATTACAAATACTGATTAGCTTTTAGGTTGCCCACTTTACTATGAAGAATGTTGCCTGCCTCTACTGCCATCTTAATTATCTTTAAGTAAAGGAAACTTAGAATTAAGAATATAATGTAGTATTTTTTTAATGGTATAGCACAAGCTGTTCCATATTATTAATGTTACCTCAGGGAAGCAGAAGTATGGAAATCCAATCTTTAATGTTTTAATTTAGACATGTGTTCAGTTGATTTTGTAGCACTTAGTATTCTTTATCTGCTGAATGTTTACTTTTGAGTAACATCTCTTTCTTGCTTCATTTTTATTAGACTAACATTCACAAAAGTAGTCTAGCTAATGATAGAGGCAGTGTGGATTAGATTTATGCTCAGGTTTGGAGGATACCTTCATATGTTTAGAAGTTTGCCACATAAAATGTATATACATTATCTGTTCATGACATACTGCTTAAGTTTTAGGCTAATCTTTATGATGCACTTGAAGGCCACATGTGTTATTAAGTTTTTTTTTTTAACTACACTAGTGAGACCTGTGTTTAGGTTAATAGTTTCACAGATATTTCAGGAAGATTTTAAAGCACTCTTTATAAAAGTACCCACATAGAAGAATTTATGAAAAGTTAATTTCCCTCAGAATAGCACTCTACCTAGAAGTTCGGTAACCGTACTGATGACTCTATTATTCAAACTCTTCAATATTTTTTGATGATTCTAGTTCTGTTTGTTTTTTTTTGTGATACTGGGGACTGAACTTGGGACCTTGAGCTTGCCAGGCAGGTGCAGTGCCGCTGAGCTACATTCCCCAGCCCGATTCTAGTTCTATTTAAAACTAGATATGAAATTTTAATTAAAAACTAATCAATATAGATGATTACATTTCTAAATTTTCTATTCATATGATCTTGGTTTTGTAAAAAAATGACTAAAGTTAATCTTTTTGTTGCTTTGTGGCTAATATTTGTATCTTGAATTTTCTGTTTAGCTTAGCTAGTGATAATTGCTAAATATTTGTTAGATAGCAATTAAGTATATAGTTGAATATATTTGAAGTTTTATTATTCTTTTAAACTTTATCACTTTGTAGTAGGTATAGCTGAAATTGTAGCTTTATAAATATAAAATAGAGAGCTGGGCATGGTGGCGCATGTCTGCAATCACAGTCTTCAAGCGGCTGAGACAGGAGAATCACTGAGTTCGAGGCCAGCCTGGTCTACATAGTGAGTTCAAGTCCTGCCTGACCTATATAACAAGACAGTGTCTCAAAAAATAAATGAACAAAAATTAGTTTAAATTTAAACTTCTTCAAAAGCTCAAAGGAAGAATTATTGGTGTGTTAATTTTTTTTCATCTCTTAATTCAGGTTTTATAGAAGAAGTGTGTTGGAATTTACTCCCATTAATCACAAACATAACTTAGGTAAAATTTAGCCCATTTTATATATCTCTTGTAGTCATCTCTGTGGAATACATGTATCAGTGAATGCTAAACATATTTTAGACTCCATGGAAAAACACTGGACAATATTAACATTTGTGGGATAAAGATTAATTTCTTTTTCCAAGTGATAAAATAAGTATTCACTGATTTATTACTGTAGTACCCCATTTATTCTTAATAATTATTAATGTAATAATATTAGAGTCCATTCATTATCTAGTTATTTCCTAGGTGATACCCTCTTGTCATTCAAAACTCATTTTCCTGATTTCTGTCTTTATGTAAAGCAATATTTTAAAAATTTTGTTAAGTACTTTAGCTCAACTATTTTCCCTTGAAAGAAGATAGATATTTTCAGAAATATGCTAACAAAAATTGGTAGCAAATTTGATCTTATATTCATTTGATCGTAAGTATGCTTAAACCTATGTTTGCTTTATTAAAGAAAAGTACTTTTTTCAAAGGATGTGTTTAAATTTTCCCATTGAATCATTTTCTGCCAACCTTATAAGGGAATCATATAGGGATCTAGTGTTACACATTTTTCTCTTTGCAGTACATTTCATGTGGTCGGAGTCAGGGTCAGAAATACCAGTTAGTTTGGTTTTCTTAGCCTCTAAGTGATAATATATAGAGAGATTGGTGTAGATACAGAATTTAGACATTTGCTGTTTTTCTGAGCGAAATAGGAAAATAGAGGAATTATAGCTGACCACTGATGTTATTTTTTTCTGACCCAAGGAAATTGTTTCACCTATAGGCAAACTATCTTTCCGGGGCTGGATAGTTTAATTCCACCAGAGAAATGTCAGTGCAGTCTATTAACACAAGTGGTCTCTTGCTTGTCAAATTATGGTGGTTTGCTAGGTTGCTTCCTAGTCTGAATTGTTTAACCTAGATGCGATATACTAAGAAAAACATCTCTTTTTGGACTGAGGATGATATTTAAATTATTAGTGCTCGTTGAGCCATGTCACTTTTCTTTTGTGGGTCTAAGGAAGATGTCCCAGTGTAATAAGTTGTCAGTTCAAATTTCTCTTTGTACCACCTAGAAGTAGTACAGAGGAAATGAAGAAGGGAATGAACATTTATTGAGTGTCTAGCGTATACCAGAGATACTCTTGCCGCATATTTTATTCTCACAATCACCTCATGAGGTAGGTGTTATTTTTATCATCCTCATTTTACCCGTGAGGAAATTATACCGTTAAAGTTCAACAGCTAGTGAGAGCTAGAGTGAAACCCAGGAATGTCTTACTTTAAGTCAAATGCTATTACTTTTTATTTTTTATTTTTTTTTGAGGCAGGGTCTTGCTTTGTAGTTCAGGCTAGCCCTGAACTCACTATGTAGGCCACGCTGGCCTTGAACTTTCAGTGATTCTCCTGCCTCAGCCTCCCTAGTACTGGGATTACAGGCGTGTGCCACCTGGCTCAGCAAATGCTATTACTTTTTTTTTTTTTGGTACCCGGGATTGAACTTGGGACCTTGTGCTTGTGAGGCAGGCGCTGGAACCACTGAGCTAAATCCCCAGCCCAAATGCTATTACTTTTGAAGCATGGCTAATGGTGTGAAAATCTGGGCAGATTTTTGTTTTTTTACTGTACCAAAGTATAATAAAATACACAAGTTTTTCTTACAGTATTTTTTTCAGCTTTATTTGCTACTTATTTGTTAGCCTCAGATTAGTTTGCTTTTATAACAAAGGCGTAAAATACAAAACCTTTGAAGCACTAGAATCCTCAGGAAAATGACCTTAACTCCTTGTTGACTTTTGCATTCTTTTCTGATTTATTTTATAGGTAAGCTGCAATTGTAGATGTTATACCCAAAATATATTTGAAAAAAATTATTAATTCTGACCTTAAGATGTTTTCAAGTTTCATTTACAAATTGATATTGAAATGTTGGCTCCACATGTTTCCTTTGAATACTGGTAGAATTTCAGAGAATGTAAAAATATAGAAAGTATTAATATGGATCAAAGTACATTTCATGAATGTATGGTATGGAACTAATTTATTTTGTTTTTGAATATGATGAGGTTCAATGTGCCATCTTTTTGTTTTGTGCTACTGGGAACTGAGCCCAGGAACTTTGCATGGAGCTATATCTCCAACTATTTTTCTTTTTTCTTTTTGAGACAGGTTCTGGCTTAGTCGCTAAGATGTGCAATCTGTGACTGAATTTGTGATCCTCCTGCCTTAGGCTCCCAGAGTGCTGGAATTACATCTTTCATTATATGTAATATTAAGCTCAATCTACTAAATATGACAACACTTTTCTTATTAAAATTTAAATCCATAGTGCAGAAGGATTAAATGAAAACGAGAAGACATTTCTCTTTCTTGGTATTTTATCCTTTTATATTCATATCCTCCTTTACAACTAGCTAGATATCTTTATTACCAGTTTGTACTAGATATTTCTTTTTTTTGTTTTGTTTTGTACTAGATATTTCTTGACTGAAACCTAATAGAATACTGTAATATTTTCTAGTAGCTGGACAATCCAGAACCTTATGTAGATGGTTTTTTTGTACTTGTATATGCAGAGATGCCTGTTCAGGCTGTCACTGATGGATCATCCAGTAATTTGACAACTGTGGAATTTCTGAATTCCTCAGCACTTAAGGAATATAGTTTAATTCAGCTATCACATGCACACTTGCATATATGTTATCTTGAACTTATTTCTTCCTCTTATATATGTATGTCTTGTCTTTCTTAGGGAGCATTAAATTATCCCGAAGTGTAGGAACACTTACACTTTTAAAATCCATATATAGGGCCGGGGATTTAGCTCAGTGGTTTCGCTGCCTGATGCACAAGCGCAAGGACCCGAGTTCTATCGCTGGTACCAAAAAAA